CGAAGAGTATAAGTTTCTCGGTTAGAAGTGATAAAACGAAATAACTCAAAAACTTCTTTAACTTGTATTCTTTTTATGTTTTTATTGGCATGCAATAAAGTTTCTTAGTGAACGAAAAATCCAGTAATCCTTTCACTAATAGCATCCTGATCAGTATCATAAGTATGTAAAAGGGTGTGACTCGGCTATTGTGATCTACCAAGACTAACTACAACAACAACACACTCGGTGTAATCCCACCCGTGGGGACTGGGGAGGGTAGGATGTACTCAGACCTTACCCCTACCTTCGTGGGATAGAGAGGGTATTTCCGATACTACCAAGACGTTCTATTTCACCAAAAACAATTGATAAAACAAAAAAGATCTTATCACACATCTAGCAACTATTCACTAATTTGGAAGGTTCTCTTACACCATTAATTTCAATAAGTGAAAGTATGTACTACACTAAGGTATGCAAACTAGTTTCAAACAAGTATCATACTCTTAAAGGTGACAGTACTCGTTGATGCTTTCCTTATCAATCTTAAAAAATAAAAGAATGTTTTCTGTATATTCACAGTTATGTTTTACTATTTTGACTAGGAGCTGTCAGCTTTTGGGTTTGTTGTTGGAAGAACTTGAAATTGATGCTGCCGCGTTGCATTCATACAAGTCCCAGTCACTGAGGCTTTCTGCACTTCATAAATTCAAATCTGGGCAGGTCCCAATATTGGTCGCTACTGATGTTGCGAGTCGTGGGTTAGACATTCCAACAGTTGATCTGGTGGTAAATTATGACATTCCAAGGTGCGAATATGATTGGATCTTTCCATTACAAGTTAATGTAAAAGAGGTTAACGTTATAAATGTAGTGATTGTCTGCTGCAGGTATCCACAGGATTATGTTCATCGTGTTGGGCGTACTGCAAGAGCTGGACGAGGTGGACTTGCTGTCAGCTTTGTTACTCAGGTGAGAAGTGTTGCTGAATTAGCACCATCTAAAGCCAATACCAGCCCTTTATTCTCTTCTTCACATTTTTGAAGTTGTTGCCTGAGCTTGCCATGAGCATCCTCTAGATGACTGCACTGTTTCTTCATTTAGTTGATCTGCGGGCTTCCTGTTTTAATCATCCATTTCCAGTAGCATTCATCATTCTCTCAGCGTTTTCTTGCTTTGGCTCTCCTATCAGCTTCTGATGCCTTTTTCTTCTGTGAAGTCTATGCAAATTGCCTTAGCCTCTCAATTTCTTGTTTGGTGGAATGAATATATTGTTCTTGATTGATATTGGTTGCATTTGCACCATCTAGTGCCATTGCCGACCGTATATTTTCTTCACATTTCAAAGCATCTCAGCATAGTCAGCACAAAGCTTTTGAAGTTCGCTTAAATGGTTGACAGCAGTCTCTTGTTCCTTTAGTCTTGACTCGATTGCTTCATAGAATTGTTTCACTACATCGTTCTCATCTTCTTTTCAATTCATGAGTGAGCTTCTTTACTTTCAAATTTGCCTCCTGATCTTTGTTTTTTTTCAAGTTCTCGGACGCAACTCGGCTTTACTTTTGTTAATGAGTTTGTCCTGAGCTTTTCAGTTTCAAGCTTGGCCTCATCTGGTGCTTCATGTGATGTGCCCATTTCATCGATCTACAATTAGATATACCAAAATTACCTGACAGTTAGATTTTGGGTTGTAGTCTATCCAAAAAGGGAGAAGAAAAGAAGTGTGTTTAAGTTGGAAATGAAGAAATTGAATTGACAGACCTTCAGTCAAAAGGGTGTGTTGCTAATAAGTGTGATTCAGTATTAGTGCTACTTTTCTCTGAGTGAAGTCCTCTTCCTTTATTTTCGTCAAGCTTACTTACCCATATCACAGAAAAGGTGTTAGGGATATGCTAATAATGATGTTTGCTACGTTTTATGAATGTTTTTCTTTGCCCTAGGACTAATCAGGAACTTCTAGGACTTAAAGCTTTAAAATTTCTTTTCTTTTGTTTGCTTAGTTTAAAGATTATTTCTTGCAGAATGATGTGGATCTCATTCATGAAATAGAAGCCGTGCTTGGGAAACAATTGGAGAAATTTGATTGTAAAGAGAATGAGGTGCTTGATGACATCTCAAAGGTAAGACAGATACCTTCGTTTCCCCTTTTTGTAAATATCTGGTCAATTTAATAAATTTAGGATATGTCAGTTTTAATTGCCTGCATTGGATAGTTCTATGCAATGAGTATTCCACAGGATTAAAGGGTGTGTTTGGTATGGCTGAAAATATTTTTGAATACCTGTATTGAGTACCTTGATGCAATGAGTACCCAACTGGCTTAAAAGGGTGTATTTGGTGTGGCAGAAAACATTCTTCAATCCCTGTATTAAATACCTTGATACAATACCCAACAGGCTTAAAGGTGTATTTGGTATGGCAGAAAGTATTCTTGAATACCTGTATTAAGTACCTTGATGCAAAGAGTACCGACAGGCTTAAAGGGTGTGTTCGGTAAGACAGAAAATAGTTTTCAGAACATTAGTTATTTTCTGGTACTTGATACTTCAGGGAAAATATTTTGCTCCAAAAGAGGGAGAATGACTTCCCTTTACTTTAGGTGAAAGTCATTGTCTTTCTCAACTATCACATCTCTCAGCTTCATATCCTTGCCTTAACCTAATGGTGTTACATTATTGTCAATCTCTTTTACTCAAAAGTTTCATCAAAACAATATCTGGTTTGCTCATAACCAAATACCAGTAAACATCTTTTCGTTTTCCGGAAAATGACTTGTGTCAAACCAAATACGCCTCAAGTGTTCAGTACTAATTTTAGATTCCTTCGATTGGTTGAAATTCTTTTAGCTTGACATAAATTTTTGTGGCATTTGAAGGTTTACAAGGCGAAGCGTGTTGCATCAATGAAGATGATGGATGATGGGTTTGAGGAGAAAGCAGCAAGTCGTAAAGCCCAGAAACAGAAAATGCAAAATGAGAGAAAGGGAAGGAACAAAAAGCAGAAAAGAGGAGTAACAAAAGATATAGAAGTTTGAGATCTCCTATATTTGTGAATAGCTTAGCAGCAGAGAGTTTTTTGATATGGGAGAGTTCTATTTTACACAAGCAGCTAGGGGCGTTGTTCATGATCGGGTTGGTTCGGATTTTTCAAATATCAAACCAAATCATTTGTATCAAATTTTTAAATTTATAAACCAAATCAAACTAATAAAATTCAAGGTTTTCAACCTTGGGTTTTTTTCGTGTTGGTTCGAGTTTTTCAAATACCAAACCATATCATTTGTGTCAAATTTTTAAAATTTTAAATTAAATCAAACTAATATACCTCGGATGATAAATTATTCATACAAACATATAATCAACTTGAGCTTCAGGTATTTCTTTAGTCCAATCAAAATATAACTATCTAAAATGTTTCTTAACAAATTAACACAAAATATGAGATGAGTGATGATATTAAAATATTCAATAAAATAATAATAATGAAATTGTATAAAATAAATATTACAAATTGACAAGTCATAATGAAAGTGATCATAATTTGAAAGTACTAAATCATGGTAAAATAAGTCTAATAAGTAGTAATTACATGATTAAACATTAAAGAAAAAATAAAATTGGGTTACATATTTTAATGTCTAAATCAATGTAAAACTAAAGAACAAATATTCAACATTATTGTCATTCTTAAATCTTAGTGTTGAATTAACGTATAAGTAGAAATTACATTAAAGTAAATACTTTTATGTATAAAATAGATTTTAATAATTATATATAATGTCTGATTGATTTTTTTTTAGTTAAAATCAAACCAACTCATATATTGTCAAGTTTTTCTAATATCAAATCAAATCAAACCATTAATAGAGTATTTTTCGATTGGATGGTCAATATACTAATGTTCGTAGTTGAGAATCGTATTTGACTTTTCGAGTATTTAAAATGAATTATTTCCATGTGCAAATATATTTTCCTGTATATTACACATCATCCATCAGGTGCAAATCCAACATCCATCCCCCCTTCACATGTTTGGTGGATGTTTCCAATATACTACACCTAACCTGCGGGCCTCTTCATGTTAGGTTAGGCCCGCCCTGGCCCGGTTAGCTTGTAGCTCCCGCCTACGTAAAATTGAATGTTAAATACAAAAATTAATTCATAAATTTATATTTTATAAAAATAATTTTATATTTATATCTATTAACTATTTATTTCATAGGTAAATACAAGTTATAATTCATATCATTACTTTTGTAACCACTTATACTTATATAACGATTATTCTCACCAACATAAAATTTATACTTCAAATCATTCTCAACCAACTTCTTTATTTTTTATCAAATTTATTTGCTAACTAAATTGACCAACAAATGACTCAAATTAATAACGTTGGTTCATCTTCTCAATCATATGATTGAGAAATACATCTTGCTCAAAAGCAAACACTGTCACATTTTAGAACAATCAAAAGTTTGAGACAACCTAAAATAAAAGTATGAAACTAAATTCTAAGTTAATGATTTTATATACAAAATTGTATAAATATAATTATTTAATTTACTATCAGGTTATCTGTTAACCAGAAAAAATTTCAAACCACCATAATTGCTAAATCAATAACCCATTACCGATAAGCCAATAACTGTTTCTTTATTCAAATTATCATATTTCGATTCAATTTTAAACCGCTGTAGTATTTTTATTTTGTTCATGTCCATTCCTCTCAAGTTGATTTCAACTCCCACATGAAACATGAAAAAGAAAAAAAACAACAAAATTCCTCAAAAAGGTGATACAGAGCATTTGAAGTTAACAGGTCAATAAAGGCAAAATCCAATTAAATAGACATGTAGACGGGCCCAGCTGTCGGCCCAGTCAACTCCAACATGTGTTTTATATATTTGGCCCGACCCGGCCCGGCCCATTATGGATTCAGCTGGTCACTTCCCCTCCCTCTCTACTGTACAACAATACAACAGCTTATTTATTCTAAGAATCTCCGCTCATTTTCTCATTTCCTTTTTTTTTTTCTTTGTCTAGGGTTTTTGGCAATAGTATATATATACAGTTGCATAGAGATTCACCAAACTCTCTCGCATTCATCACAATGGCTTTTTCTTCTCTTCTCAAACCTACCGCATCCCTTGTTCGACCTTCTCATCGATCTCAGGTAAATATGCTATTATTTAGATCTCTGTTTCACTTTCGTCAACTTTGTTTTGTTTGCGTTCGTTATAAGCTTTTACCAGTCGATCTGAATTTCTTCAGCTGCATTTGATATATGAATCAAGTTTATGTATTAATGGAAGTGTTTGACTTTTTATGAATTTGTTCAGGCATCATGTGCAGGACTTCATCACAGTAGTAATTCTGTTAAATTACAATCGTCTGTCTTCGGAGATGCTGTGACAATTTTGCAATCTTCGTCTTTACAGTGAGTGATTGTGTTTTACTATACTTGATTTTCGTTACTACTTTAGTAAGTAAAGAAAAAAGAGCTGATATGCAAAAGTTAAAACCTGCAGAAAATCTGGTGCCTGCAGTATTCAACCTATCAGAGCAACTGCTACTGAGCTGCCTCCAACAGTTCCAAGTAAGTTTTTTTTTTACATTTCTAACTTTAAACCTTGTGATTTGATGATCAAATGGATGTGTTGTTGAGATGCTTGAATTTGTTTGGCATTTGCTCAGGGTCACAGACTGGTGGGAAGACAAGGATTGGTATAAATGGTATGTTGCTTTGTTTTGTTTTGGATTATGTAGTTCTCAAGGTTCTGGAGTTGAAAATATTAGCTGCTTCGTTTATGATGTCTCTTGATTTTCTGTCCCTTGTAGAAGTTTATATCAAATTTCTTGTATGAACATATACGATGGTTGTTACAGTACCTGCAGAAAATGTATGTCTAAGTTGTTCAAACATTGCAGGTTTTGGACGTATTGGGAGATTGGTTTTACGAATTGCAACATTCAGGGATGATATTGATGTGGTCGCAGTTAATGACCCATTTATCGATGCAAAGTATATGGTAAGAACGTATCCCATGAAAATATGGTGTGTGATTCTGCATGAAATTGGGATTGGTAGTGTAAATTCCCCCGGTGTATAAGCTCTGTAGAAATAAATATTGCATCGCTAGGACTTCGGCTGATGTTATTATGTCAAACTTAAGTATTGACACCTTAATAGGAAAGGTTGTAAGTGAATGGACTTTCCCGATATAAATAAGGATACATTTAAAAAGCACCGTCATTAAATAAATAGTTGACACTGACTCCAAACAATTACTGGTAAAAATGGCAACCCTAACTTATGATCTGCAGATCATTATATTTCTTTTTGTTTTTGTATCTATGAATTACTTCCTCCTCCTCTAGTGTTCTATTTGATGCTTTCATCTTCTGATGGGGCCACACCTTCCTTTCCTGTAAAATAGTTTCTCCTCTATCGTTCTTCATGTACTTCTGCGAGTAGATTTTTAGCCCTCTGAGGTATAAGCTGACAAGAGAGGGATAGCCTAGTAATGAATCAATGAAGAATCTCTAACTGTAATTTATCACCAAGGGAGCAAAGTGAGGATGAACCGCAGGGGATTTGAGGAATGGACTTTATCATATCAAAAGAAAAAACACCTTCTGGGCTAAGTGTGTAACATTTTCTGTTTGTTCATTTTAGGCTTACATGCTCAAGTATGATTCCACTCATGGAGTCTACAGTGGATCCATCAGTGTCCTGGACGATTCTACTTTGGAAATCAATGGGAAGCAGATTAAAGTCAGTAGCAAAAGGTATGTTAGTTAAGTTACAAGTAAAACAATAAAATAAATCATGTTAGTTTATTGCTCACTCATGCAAACTTCTCTTGATGCAGGGATCCCGCAGATATTCTATGGGGTGATTTAGGTGCAGATTATGTTGTTGAATCTTCTGGTGTCTTCACAACTATTGATAAGGCCTCAGCACATAAGAAGGTGGAGGACATGCTATTGCTGGCCTTAAACGCTCTTTCTTTGCCCACCTTATTCATGCAGCTCTTGTATTGATACTTTTTGTTTGATTGTGCAGGGTGGTGCAAAGAAGGTCGTAATCTCAGCACCATCAGCTGATGCACCTATGTTTGTGGTAGGAGTGAATGAGAAAACTTACAAAGCCAACATGGATGTTGTTTCTAACGCTAGCTGTACTACCAATTGCCTTGCTCCCCTTGCCAAGGTTTGGCTTAAGAACTGGCTTAATTGAACAACCACACATGATTTGCTTGTTCTCCACTTTTGACGGTCTTTCCCATGCTGTTTCTCGTTGCAGGTGGTTCATGAAGAGTTTGGCATTGTTGAGGGACTAATGACTACTGTGCATGCAACAACAGGTATGTCTCTTCTTGCTTAACACATGTGTAAACCATGTCTACCTTCTCTTTTGTTTGTCTACATTCTCTGTATGTTGTATTTAAATTGATATCATGGTCAGCTACCCAAAAGACTGTTGATGGCCCATCAATGAAGGATTGGCGAGGAGGCCGTGGTGCAGGACAAAACATCATCCCTAGTTCAACTGGTGCTGCTAAGGTATTACATAAGTTCTTGATGTATTATTTACCTTTTCTATTTCTCCTTTTTTTTTTGGGTTATTGGGGTGGGGGGAGAGGGGCAAGTTCATGGTTGTGATGGAAGACAAATGTTCCTCTTTGATTATAGGCAGTAGGAAAAGTTCTGCCAGAATTGAATGGGAAGCTCACTGGAATGGCGTTCCGTGTCCCAACACCTAATGTCTCTGTTGTTGACTTGACTTGCCGGCTAGATAAAAGTGCTTCTTATGATGATGTGAAAGCAGCGTTAAAGTAAGCTTTCTATATTCTCAATTCATCTGGCTCTTGTTTAATGGACAATCTTGTTTTTGGGCTACTTTGCCTAATTTAGTGCTTTCTTTGCTCTAGGTATGCATCAGAGGGTCCACTTAAAGGCATTTTGGGTTACACAGACGAGGATGTTGTCTCAAATGATTTTGTTGGCGATTCCAGGTAGATTTGCTCATTCTTCTCTTTTGATCTCTTACACACTAATCTTAGGGAATAGGGGTCATGTTGCAGGGAGATCTAATGTGCTTCAGAAGTTCATATTCTCTGAATGCTTCCATATAACTGTTTCCTTGCACCTTTCACAAGATTAAACATAAAACATATTAATGGCAGTGGATAATTATCACTCCATTATTGCCCCTGAGCAGATGTGCTGCTCAGAGACTTGAGCCCAAAAAAACACAAACAAAAAAATATATTTTTTAAAAAAATTATAAAAACAAATTCACCAATACTCTGCAGTCCTTTTCTTGAATATTTTTCTGTAAAATAATTCATGGTCTGCCACACGGGCTTTTGTATAGTGGTAAGAGCACTGGGTTTAGGTGCATGTTGAGTTCGAACCCTGCTGCAGTCAAATCCAGGTATTTAAGTGGGGAAGAATAGAAGAGCGCTGGTCGATTATCGACCGTCTCAAAGCATGCACCAGCTAGCCCTCGGGAATTTCTTGGTTTGAAATAATTTATCTGTGATCTTAACTTCTCATGCTAAAGCTTCATAAAAGGTGGTCACAGTGAAACACTACTAGAGGAAAGCAAAATGTCCCTCTATGTACAGAGATTGTTAGGGGTGTTGCATGACCGTTTGTTCTCTTCTTTATTTTGTGGAAGTGGAAGATTTCTTGCAACAGCTCATTAAATCATGCATGCAAGCAGAATGTCTGTCGTTTTAAAAAAGTTTGCTTAGCTATCGAAGAGGACAAAGGTTGATATGCTCTCCTCTTCTGAGCTACATATATATGATGATATGGGTGCTTGAAATAAAGGTGGATAAAGTATCTGAGTTTCTGGTGTTCTTGTATAAGACACTTTTGACCTTCATCTGAATAAAGGATGATGAAGTAATATCTGAGCTTCTGGTGCTTGTGTAAACACGATTTACCTTAAGGGTCCGTTTGGTTGGATGTAATAGAGATTAATAGTACGTTATTAGCCAAAGACGACTTCTCTCATGAGGTATGGTATGTATCTTATGACTTCCTTGTCATGATGCCCTTTGGTGCCAGCAACCTTTTGTAGGCTAATGAATGAGGTAGTCAGAGACTAGAAGGAGAATTTACTTATGGAAAGGGGGCAGGGCTAGAGGACTGTGTGGCTCAAGACACAAAGAATGGCTAAGGAAAGTCACCAGCTTAGGTGGAAAGCGCACTTCCCTTTTGAATTGTGTTTGCAGGGCTTCTTGCCTCTGGCATCAGTCTTGTCCGTCTGAATGATGGAACTCCCAATGGAATGGTTAATACCTTGTTTGCTAGTGTTTTCAAGGTTTGTATAGCTAATAGTTATATGGGGGTGTATAACTATAGTAGCAACCCATAGTATTAGCAATATCAGGGTTATAATACATGGATGGTTGAAGACAGAACTGTCATTGAATACACCAAACCAAACAGTGGATAAAAACTAATCCCAACATTACTATACACCCTATCCAGTTCTATTCTTATACACCCTACCAAACGACCCCCAAGTGTAATAGTATTTTGGAGTAGCCAATATCTGAACTTTTGCAGAATAAACAACACATCTTTTAATATGATGCCAGATTGATTTATTAACAACAGAAAATTCCTCCTAAAAAGTAACGATACTTGTATATAAATTAGTCATTTGGCAATGCTATCATTAAGTGGTACACTAAAGTACAATTATCCAAAGAAAAAAGGGTGGTACTATAAACCAAGTACACGAGTATTAGAGGTCAGTGCCGTGTAGGATACAAGTGGACAGAACTGCTAATAGTTTTAACTGTGAATGATATACTACTTCAACTGCTGATTTGAAGCTATGCTGAATTACTAATTAATTAATCTGATATGTAGGTCGAGCATATTTGATGCTAAAGCTGGTATAGGCCTAAGCAAATCATTCGTGAAGCTCGTCTCCTGGTATGATAACGAGTGGGGTTACAGGTATGACCTTTTATCTCTGAACCAACCATCCCCAACAAGAAAATAGGCAATGACAAAAAAAAAGAGTTGAAACCTTGTCCATACTACTATATCACAGAACTGTTGACAAAGTTGTATTGTAATCTTAACCTTTGCAGTAACCGAGTATTGGACCTCATCGAGCACATGGCGTTGGTAGCAGCCACCAATTAAAATACAAGATAATAGTAGCTACTGCAGAGTTTGGCGCAAGCAACCATTTGTATTTGAAAAAGTTGTGGAGTAGAATGCTCCATTTTGGTTATGGATTGAGTTTCCTTACTGTCGTACTTTAGTTTAAAATAATGAACAGTTGGACATGTATGATTACATACGTCTTTTCACAAGGATGTAATTTTATACACTTGCTACTATGGAGAGGTGGCAATTTTTTTGCTTAAAAGGAGATCATAAAATTTGTTAATTTTACTGCCAAACTTGATTCTCTGATTCATCATGTTTAAGAAGTTTGTCATAGTGAAGGCTTAAGATATCAAAAGCTAAATAGTTTAAAAACAAGTGTTTCTGATTAGTACTCTACTTGTAATTGTAGGATAAGTGGTGCTTCGAATTTGTGCTTTATGAAGCACTTGGAATAGGAAAGGACAAAAATACGAAAGTTTAGTGCATATTCTTTTTCACTTTCATGTCTTATTTTTTAATGTATAATGGAGAATGACGCACACCATAAAGCGAGTAAAAGATGAGGAAGGGTGCAAGATTCATGCTGCAATGTTTATATGTGGAGTAGTTGGTTTTATTGCCAATTAAAGTTCGAATGCTACGTACACCGTATTTCTTATCTGATAAGACTTACTAGCACTTGCGGAAGTTAAAATTTAAAGTTTATGGGTTCGGAATTGTAGTACATTTGAATTATTGAGTTCTAAATTAATAATTTATACATATCTAACATATTTCTTGAAACAAATATAGAATTTTGACCAAAGTTACTAAATTTCGGTTGAACATAATGATAGAAATTAAACTACTGGGTGCTCGAAAGGAGTACTATCACTATATCATTATTGAAGAAGAAAGAATACAACTTTAACTAAATGACGATTGATTGAGGCTTGCTCAAGTAGTTGAGCACCTTCATCATCGATCTGGTCGGTAAAAAATTTTGAATCATGTTAAAGGGTAAGTGAGAACATTATTGATTCTCCCACTCGTGAGAAAAAAAAAACATAGATGTGGATAGATGACTCTTGTTGTGCTGCAATGGAGTAGTTATCAAATGTATGATGACGGTTAAGTTAAACAATATTTGTTTAATCCAATTCTACGTCCATACTAACATGTACTAGGGTAACTTAATTCATTTTGTAAGTATTTTAATGCTTTTTCTTTTCCTCAGGTATTTGACTTTACATGAAAATTAAGAAGAAAGAAAGCATTTTTTTTTTATATATAAGAACTTTCAAATATAAAAATGCATTGTTAACTGATTTTATCATAAAAATATTGTGGCTAACAATAACCATGAGATGATGACTCTTACTATATAAACAAAACATTACATTACATTTAGAAGCAGAAAAGCTAATTGTTCAATAATATCAGTACGTAACTACTACTACTACTCTAAGCATGGAAATCAGTCGGAGTAATGTTGGTGGCGGAAGCAATGACGGCCCTCTGTTCGACAGTTTTAGGACGGAACTGCTGTCTCCGGCTGCTCAGGCGGTAGTTGATCAGATTCAGTCATCATCTTCGGCGTCATGGAGGCTTAACGTTAGCGAATTTCATCTTCCAGAACAACGACGCTCCTCCGATCATCACTCCTTTAGTGTCCGTCGTCTCCTTCCCACTCCCAGTATGTATATGTAATACTCACTCTGTTCCAATTTATGTAACAAAATACAAATTTCGAGTTTAATTTGGGCATGAAATCTTCAAATGAAAATAGTCAATTATAAACTTGTTTGAATCTCGAAATTCAAAAAGTAAGTACTAGGTGGGTGAATCATATAATCAAATTCATTTTTCCAGTCTCGATATCTGTTCTATTGTGTGATTATTTACAGGGAAACAGGGTAAAATTGCGGAATATTACAAAAGGCAAGAAAGGCTTGTGGAAGGGTTCAATGAGATGGATACCATTAATGAATCTGGTTGTTTACCTGCAAGTCTAACTGAGGTTTGTTTGTTTGTTTCTCGTTAATTGCTCGAGAAGGCGTAAATTAACTCGTTAACTTTTGCAATATTTGTGTACTTTATCAGGAAGAAATGAAGCAGCTTGCTAAGAGTGAAAGGATGGCTATTCATTTATCAAACATGGCTAATGTAATCCTTTTCATCGCAAAAATATATGCATCTGTTCAGAGCAAATCATTGGCTGTTATCGCATCGACGTTAGATTCTCTCTTAGACCTCTTATCCGGGTTTATTCTGTGGTTTACTTCTCATGCCATGAAAAATCCAAATCAGTATCACTATCCTATTGGGAAAAAAAGGATGCAGCCGGTGGTGCGTGATCACACTCAGTTTAAGTCATTTGTTCTGTTGTTTTTTTAACTCATTTCGTTGCTATTTCGTTCAGGGTATTATTGTTTTTGCATCTGTAATGGCAACACTAGGATTACAAATACTGTTCGAGTCTGCAAAAGAACTCATAAATCAGGTATGTCAATTGCTGAGAATGAATTTTGCACAGCAGTATGATGATAGAGTTTTGAATTTTGAATTCGTACTTCTAGAGGTCAATCGTTTAAATTTGTCCCTCGTTTTTGAAATACTACAATTTATAGGAAACGGAAGGGAAAAACAATAGGTTTTGGTACTTCTACTGTTGGATAGATATTGCAATTGCATTACACTTGACTTGTTAACCTGCATTTGTTGTTTGGATGGTTCTATCTATGTGTATGAGATCAGTCTCGCCCTGAGATGGACCACGAGAAGGAAAAATGGACGATTGGGATAATGGTCTCGGTCACAGTAGTCAAGTTTCTGCTTATGGTCTACTGTCGAAGGTTCAAAAATGAAATTGTAAGAGCTTATGCCCAAGACCATTTCTTTGATGTCATAACCAACTCAGTTGGATTAGTGACTGCTGTCTTAGCAGTCCGATTCTACTGGTGGATCGATCCTACAGGAGCTATCATAGTGAGTTCACTGTTCACAATCACAAGTCACAACTTTCGATTAGTAGTAAGACATTGTTTCACACTGCTGATAATCATAAAAGTCTTTATATATACATTGTATTTTCAGATAGCTGTGTACACAATAAGCACGTGGGCGAGGACAGTAGCAGAAAATGTCGGGTCACTCATAGGAAGAACAGCTCCACCAGACTTTCTTACGAAATTAACCTATCTTATATGGAATCATCATGAAGAGATCAAGCACATTGACACGGTTAGAGCATATACTTTTGGCGTAAATTACTTTGTGGAAGTTGATATAGTGTTGCCAGAGGACATGTTTTTGAATCAGGCACATAATATTGGTGAAACACTGCAAGAAAAACTGGAGCAACTCCCTGAAGTAGAGCGTGCTTTCGTCCATATAGACTTCGAGTTTACTCACAGGCCAGAACACAAAATCACAGTGTAATGACATACATACTAGTTGCATTAAGTACCCTTACTCAAAATAATATTCATGTTGAGTTGAATCTATGAATTATTCAAGATCATTGGCTTAGTCCAGATGAAAGAAAAATTCTAGTTTAAGTTTCTCTGTTTGATAAGGTAACAATTTTATTAATGAAGCGGGCAATAAAAGCGCTTGTAAACCAGAAGTATACCGAAAAGTAGAGAACTTATAAAACAGACGTTCAAACGTTTATTCAGATTCAGACGTCTTAATCTTAATTGAAACAAATGAGCCTCAATCTTATAAACAAAAGGAATATTATGGGTGCACCAAAAGGAATTATGGACAAAAGGCTTCTTTTTACTCTTCTTTTTTTATCAAGATAAAGAATGTCATTTGAGATAGATCGTTTTTGTTATTTTTATTGTTTTAGTTTAATTTTCAATCTGAAAAAGATTTGACCAAATTCTCTTAGATATGAACTAGAAACTAAAACATACCTAGATTTTATTTTTGTTTATGTTAGATATCCAATATATAAATATGAGTCTTTTTAAAGTTTTGTAGACTTTTTGCACTAGTGTTTTATATATTACTGCTATGTTTTTTTTTATGGTTTTCTTCGTTTAATACATGGTTTGATGCACTTGAGCCGACGACAGTCTCTCTACCATGGTTTTTTTTTATGGTTTTCTTCGTTTAATACATGGTTTGATGCACTTGAGCCGACGACAGTCTCTCTACCATGGTTTTTTTTTATGGTTTTCTTCGTTTAATACATGGTTTGATGCACTTGAGCCGACGACAGTCTCTCTACCATGGTTTTTTTTTATGGTTTTCTTCGTTTAATACATGGTTTGATGCACTTGAGCCGACGACAGTCTCTCTACCATGGTTTTTTTTTATGGTTTTCTTCGTTTAATACATGGTTTGATGCACTTGAGCCGACGACAGTCTCTCTACCTTTATGAAACCATGATAAGATTTGTGTATACTGTACTCTCTTCAGACCCCACCTAATTTCACAAGATATGTTATCATTGTTGTTGAGTCTTTTTAAAGATTTACTTCTATATCCTTTTCATCACTCAACTCAGATTGAATCCTGACATAATCGTCCTTGTATCTTTTTTCTTCCTAATTGTTGTTATTTCTCCTTTTCTTTTATAGTTTGATTATTTGACCCACACAATATCATATTCTTGAGCTATTATTCCAATAATATTTTTTTAATGTAAAGTCGGGTATTTGGTAAAATACATTATTTTCTTAACTTTAGAATCATAATTACTAATGATTTGTTGGTGAATTACACAATTCTTTTGTTTTATCTTTATTAGCTTATATAATTACAACCATAAATTAGATTTTTAAAGTTCTTTAGGAGTTGCAAAATCCTAGTAATTAAATGACAAAGGAGATATAATCGTGAGTTCAAGCTTTTGGAAAACGGGTCAATGAGTCAAGTGAGTGAGATTTTTAAATAAATGAGTTTTTATTTTAATTTTAATTTATCATGTAACAAGTTTAAAAATATCATCTTATGAATATTTTATTTGATGTGAATGTCCACTAAATTCAGTTTCTCCATCTCTCCACTACTTTTCACCATTATGTTCCACCTCCTCCATGATCTCTATTTTTTCTAAATGCCATGTCTCCCATATCCTCCATAATCTTTTTCTTTAGGGGTCGTTTGGTAACTAGATAAGAAATGAGTTATTTGTATATTAATTTCCATATAACTTAAACGATGTTTGATTGGATAGAAAGAAAATAAGTTATTCATTATAAATTCAGATGCAATTTACTAAGTCAAAACAAAGGGTTGAAAAAGCACCACAAGGAACAAGAACAACGTCCTGACTAAACAAGAGT